TTGAATGACCATCAAAAAACTAAAAGCCCATGGACAAAAAACACACCAAGTAATCACACAGGAATAGTAACCAAAAAAAGAAAAAAGGAAAAAAAAAAAGAAGAAGAAAAAACAAGAAAACCTTCAATATCTGGGGCTAAGGCACTAAGAAAAAAAAAGTAGAGGAGAATAATAAATGAAAAAAAAAAGGGAAAAATGCAAAAAGAAAATCAAGGAACAGGGTTAACCACAAGAAAAAAGGGCGAAAGAAAAAATAAAACAAAACAAAAAAAACCTTACATTTAAAAAATAATAATAAAAATTTCAACCACGCACAGGGAAAAGAAAAAAATGCTGAACACTAGGACCTGGGAGGGGAAGATTAAGAAAAATAACAAAAAGGACAAAAGTATTAATAATATTTGTTGTTTAAAAACAGACAAATGCAAGCAAACTAATCACCAGAAAAAAGAAAGCTAAAAAGAAAAAAATAAAAACAAAGAGAAAAAAAAAAAGTAAATCAGTGGAGGACAGGGCAGGGCACCCAGGCTCCATCTGACCACACAGACTGTGATGAAATTCCTGTGGGCAGAGAAGGTAGGTGGGAGTGGAGGACAGCCGCACCTCCATTCACCAAGAGTAACAAGAGGAATGTCGTACCTTGTCAGTCTAGCAGGTCCCAAGTGTCCTTGGGGGTTGCTGGAAAGGACGTGTTCTTAAGCCCCAGGAATCTGAGATAGCGATGTCTCTTTAAATACCCAGAATAGTCAAGCTGCTTTTTAAACCTTCAAAATGGTGGCGTCCTCCGGACCGGCAAAAGTCCACAGCTCAGCCCACCTTTCTCTTCACCTTCTCCGTTTGTTCCCCAGCCACCATGCACAGTCCTCTGTGCAGTCCCTGGCTAGCAGGGTGATTTTTAGGTCAGTTCTTAGGTCCTACCAGCACTCGGGAATCTCCAAGCTGTCTGTGCCGTCAGGATCACTCAGGATGGCTACCAGACCGCAGCTCCGTCTGTCTCCTTTTTTGGTATTTTCATGCAAATTCTTTGGCTAGTTGGGGTTAGTCCACTTCTATATCCTTTCCTTCAAGGCTCAGAGGTCCAGAATTATCGTTTGTGTCTGTGTTAATTGGTTTCCCTTTTCTTTGTTGAAGAGGGTCTGTGCAGTCTTTCTGCCTAGTCTGCCATCTTGCCAGATCTCTCCTACTTTTGTAGGTTTTAATGTATTCTTTATTTTACCAAAAGTTTTTTTTTTTAAGTGAGTAAAGAGGTTTTAAGTTTATCAGTTGCCTTTTGCATCTGCCAAGATGATTATATGATTTTCTGCCTTTTGTCTTATCAATATAATAATTATAATGAATTTCCTAAAACCACCACCTGAGAATGGTGTATTTTTCATTATACTTGATTTCATATTTTCTTTAGAAGTTTGTCTCAAAAAGTCTTAATATTAATCTACAGTTTTCACTTTTGGGATATTTAAGTTTAACATGGTTTATCACATCCCTTAATTTTCTTCATAGATATGAGCTCTAGCAAAACTTTATTTGTTCTATATGATATTTCATTATGCAAAGCAGCAGAGCTTGTGTAATTAAAATACTGTAGTAGTTGCTATAACCATTATAAACATTTTTTCTTTTCAAAAGTAGTTTTCTATTTAATAGAGTGATATATAGATTTTTTTAGGAGCTCTGGTAGCATAGTGCCTAAGGCACTTGACTGCTAACCAGAAGGCTGGCAGTTCAAACCCACCAGCCACTCCTCAGAAGTAAGGTTGGGGCAATCCTACTTCTGTAGTGATACTGCCTCGGAAATCCAAGGAGGGGTCGCTATGAGTCAGGGCTGACTCAACGGCACGTAACAACAACATAGGTTTTTTACACTAATTGAATACTTTGCTACATAATTAAAATGTATATTAGTAATAAAATTTAAAATTTTATCTAATGTGATTCTAGAAAATTTAGTACTAATAATCTTACTGATTGAGCACAGTTATTTTTGGTCTGTTCCTTAATATTTTTATTTACATGAATTTCCATGCAAGTTCTATCATACTGGAGCAAAATGTTACCAAGGAGACAACTGTAAATTTTCTCATGATGATCTGACTAAAGAAACAAAGAAACTTTTGGACAAAGTGAGTAATATTCTTATACCTTGGTTATTAGTTAGCTTTCTCCACAGATTCATTTGACTTGAATAGCTTACTTTCAGACATTTGTGAATAATATAACATATTTTCTAAAACCCTACTGAGAAATCAAAGATTTATTTTCTGTTCTGTGCTATTAATATCATGTATTGGAAAAGTAGAACTGTTGGATTAGGGCATTAGATATCTTCTATTCTTATCTTTGTCCTGCCATTTAATAAGCTAATTTACTTTGAGCAGTTTCCTTTACCACTTTGAATCTCATTCTCTTTGTCAAATATGAAGAATTAGCTATTTACATTTCAGCTTCTATATTATATTTTTCTATTAACAAAACCAATTTATTGAAGTCTTTACAGTTTCAAATGTGAAGAAAGAGGTTGTTTTAAAATAGTAATCTTTGCCAATTATTTTTAGGTGTTGAATACTGATGAAGAACCCATAAATGAAGATGAAAGAGAATTAGAAGAACTTAGAAAACGTGGCATAACTCCTCTTCCCAAACCACCTCCAGGAGTTGGGCTTCTGCCAACTCCAGCAGAACATTTTTCCTTTTCTGACCCTGAAGATGATTTTCCAATAGATCTCTCTGATGATTTCAAGAAAATTCCATCTCTTTTTGAAATAGTTGTAAAACCTACTGTGGATTTAGCACATAAGATTGGGAAGAAGTAAGCTAAATTTTTCAAAAATTGCAGCAATTTTTTTTCCTAAAGATTCTTACTTGAAAAATAACTTGTATTCTAGAATCACGTATAATCAAACTCAGGTAGAGATGGCAGATATCTGGCATGCACACAGATTGCTGCTTCTCCCCTTAACTTTGTCCCCGCCTTCTCCTGCCTGCCATCAATGCTTTTCTCTCTCTACAGTAATCCTTAAAGGCATTGCCATGTCCATGGAATTGTCACTCGTGCTACCTGGTTATGAGACTGCATTGTAGTTGATTAATTTCTTCTAAGGATGGGTTGATATGTTTCTAGCATATCTCAGTTTTTTTACAGAAATGTTTCCTTATGCTGTTGGAGGAAAACTTGTGGGTAAGCTTTCCAGGATCCAAATTAGCATTTTCTAACAATGCCATGCTGCCCTGCAGCCCAGTCCCCCAGGGTCTGTGCAAAAACCAAAAACCAAACCTCACTGTCATCGAGTCACTTTCAACTCATAGTGACCTCTATTATGTTCCCAAGGCTGTAAATCTTTATGGAAGCAGACAACCTCATCTTACCTAAAATCCTATCATTAATTTTTTTTTAAACTCTAAATGCTCAGGGAAGTAGTAGCTCTCAGTAAATGAGAAACAAGAAATCTGTAGCAAATATCACAATTTGTGAACCTTTAAAAGTATTTCTGTTAAAATTAGGAAGAAGACAAGTATGTCCACTATTAATATTACATATTAGATCCTAGTCAATGCAGTGAGAGAGATAAAAGGTGAAAGATTAGAAATGGAGAGGCAGAGTCATTTCATCAGTTACTCTCTGTAAACCCAAAAAAGAATCAACTGACAAAACTATAGAAATAATAATTGAATTAGCAAAATGTCTACAAAGAAGAACAGCATCATTTAGAAACTAAAAGCCTTTTTGTATGCTAGTAATAATCAATTTGAAATTTTAACAGAAAAATTGTATGCTTATATAAACCAGTCGATTCCTACTCATGGCATGCTCATGTATGTCAGAGTAGAAATATACTCTGTAGGGTTTTCAATGGGTGATTTTTTGAAAATAGATTTCTAGGCCTTTTTTCCGAGGTGCCTCCAAGTAGACTCGAACCTCCAACCTTTCATTTAGCAGCCGAGTGTGTAGGTAGGTTTACGTGGTATCAGTCTAATTTTGTTGTTAACAAGTCTGCATATGTCTAGAAAAGGGACTGCAAGTATATCAATAATAATTAAAAAAAGTATCTCTGGATGGTATCTAGAGGTGAGTCTTATTTATCATTTATTGTTAGATATCATTATACTTGTCTGTATTTGTCACAAGAGCTATAATAAGTAAGTTTTAGAATAGCTAATAGTAAGCAACTATTCATAACATTTCCAGTGGACAGTTTTTTCAGAAGTGGATGACACCATCCTTCTTCCCAGTCTGGTCAGCACTTACTAATGAAGATCAAAGACTATAGTCTTCAGTCTGGATTACATTTTAACATAAAGAAAACAAAAATCCTCACAGCTGGACCAAAAAGCAGCATTACGATAAGTGGAGAAAAGATTGACATTGTCAGGGGTTTCATTTTGCTTGGATCCATAATCAACACCCATGAATGTAGCAGTCAGGAAATTAGATGTCGTACTGCAGTGGGCAAATCTATTACAAGGGACCTCTTTAAAAGTTAAAGAGCAAAGATACCACTTTGAAGACTAAGGTGCACCAGACCCAAGCCATGGTGTGTTTGATAGCCTTATATGCATGTGAAAGCTGACGATGGACAAGGAAGTCAGAAGCATTGTTGCCTTTGAATTGTGGTGTTAGCAAAGAATACTGACGACTTCATGTATTTCCAGAAGAATGAACACATCTGGTCTTAGAAGTGAGAATAACTGGACTACCTCTCATCGACTTTGGTCTTGCTGTCAGAAGGGACCAGTCCCTGGAGAAGGATATAATTCTTGATAAAGTAAAGGGTCAGCCAAAAGGAGGAGGACCCTCAATGAGATGGATTGACACAGTGGCTGCAACAGTGGACTCAAGCGTAGCAGGGATTGTGAGGATGGTGCAGGGCTGGGAATGTTTCTTCTGCTGCTCATAGGGTTGCTCTGTGTCAGAGCTGACTCCACAGCACCTAACACTAACAACAACAGTGGTAAACAGCAATTAAGAAAAGTGTATGGTAAAATGAAGGCAAGGCACATATGCAGTATTTCTATTTATAGATGAGTAAATTGCTTCTTAAAAACATAGTATTCTTTTCTGATATAGAAAAAGCTATGAACTTAACCACTGTCTATTTATAAATGTAACATTCTTTCTAAATCCTTTTTCTTTGAACTAAGGAATATTATTCTTTCTATCTACAGGCCACCAGCATTTTATAACAGTGCCTCACCACCAGGACCACAATTTCAGGAAAGCAGCCCACACCCTCAACATATCTATAGTTCTGGATCAAGTCCAGGTCCTGTACCTGATAGGTCTCAGGGACACGATAGTCCTGTGATGCACCCAGGCTCCCCTGGACATCATCCATGTGCAGGACCTCCTGGTCTAGCAGTCCCACAGAGCCCACCTTTGCCACCTGGTCCACCTGGAGTTGTAGGCTCTCACAGTCAAGCTGGAGTACTTGTTCAACCAGGTCCACCTTTGACACAATCTGGTATGAGTGGTGCTTACCACACCCCAGGCTTTCAAGGACACATGGTGAATGTAATTCGAGAGAAGCACTCTTCTCCAGCCTCATCACACCAGCAAAGTCCTGGTGAAACGCAACTCAACACCAATTATGAGTCCCTTCAAAACCCAGCAGAATTTTATGATAGTTACTATTCACATCATGCTGTCCACAATTTTCAGCTCCCCAGTAACCCTGGTGGTAAGTTTACACTTTAAAATAACTCATTTCTAAATTAAAATATTGAAGCTTTACCTTCATTAAAGGAAAGTATGGTCAGAATGTGTGTTTTAAATAAAACTAGGTAAAATGTGATGAAGTTAGAACCTTCAAATATGTTTTGAATTTAACCAAACTTTTGAAATAATAGAACATTAGCTAACTTCTTTAAATATTTCAAATTTTATTATAATTTGGTAATAAAACATTAGAGCTGCAATTTCTTAGACCTCAACAATAATAGTACTGTCAAGTACAATTGTTAATGGAATTTAGTATTCTCAAGTGATAAATCAAGAAGCTTTGGTGGTGTATTGGTTAAGTGCTCAGCTGCTAACTGAAAGGTCAGCAGTTCAAACCCACTAGCCCTCCTGCAGGAGAAAGATGTGGCAGTCTGCTTCTGTAAAGATTTACAGCCTTGGAAATGCTATGGGACAGTTCTACTCTGTCCTATAGGATCACCATGAGTCAGACTTGATGGCAGTGGGTTTGAGTTTTTTCAGTTTGAGTACTAAGTCAGTATCTGTCTCTTTGTGTTTTGAATATAGATGAGATATGGCATGGTGAATTTGCCCAGCATCAGCCTCCCATTGTTCAAGACTCACATAACCATGAGAGTGTGCCTGACAGCAGCAGTGTGACAGTCCATAGTCCTTTGACTGCACCTGGTCTCCTCCCTGCGGTGCAGAGGGCACTTTTTGTGAGACTTACTCAGAAATACCATGAAGATGAAGAAGCAAGCAGCACTGAACCTCACAGGGTGCCGGGCAAGGAAGAAGGTGTGTCAGGTTATAATAGCATCTTACCTATTTGGATCACTTAGGTCCTGAAATGGCCTTGAATAGGTTAAACTCAGATAAATGAGTTCCTTTGAACTCTATTCTCTTACCAATTTACCTTACAGCCCCTAACTACTTGGGATTAATTGTGGTTTCCAGCTCCATTAAGGCATTAATAATTAATTGCAAAAGGCTTGACTTGAAGCAGTGAATAGCTAGAGTGCTTGGGTTGGGCCAGCAGACATGCTCCTGAATTCCTTCATTTTTCTAAAGTGAAAAGACATAGAAAAAGAGTAGAACACCTTCCAATTCAAAGATTTTGACTTGTAGCCCAAGGTAAAAATGATTCAGTTATTAGAGAAAATTTTATGGTCATAGGCTATGTACCTTAAGTTCTGTATTAGTTAGGTATATATGAAAATATAAAAAGATTATGTAGAGAGAGTAAGTTTACCTTAATATTTTTGATATTGATATGTTAATTCATAATTGATAGTTAATTGGTTAGTTAATTTATTTACACATGAGAAAAGTTTTAAGTATACAGTTCCTCTTCTGAATTACAAAATTGATGTGTTCGGCCACTCTTAAACATGAAATTTAGGAACAACTGGGTGAAACTAGGTAACACTAGATAGCTACAAACTATCATATAAATATTATTTATTACGTGCTAAAAGAAGGTAGCATTAACTCTTCATTTATCTAATCACAAGAGAATGCATTCTTCCTAATAAGTGAATTTCCCATACAGTTTAACCATACTCCATTAAATGCTAAAACTTAATTTTAAAAGTTTTATGGTAATCTTTGTATAAACTCTTAACAGATTTTATGTTTTCATAAACAAAACTAAAACTTTTCTTGATGATACAAAATTTTATACTGTAACATACAATTGATGTTCTGTAAGGGTTGTTTGCTCTGTATACAGAAATAATCTTGAACAGCTATTTTTTATATATGTTTGTGTTTATTTTAATGCTTTTATGAGTTTTATTTCATCTTTGATGAAAAGCTGTTAACTATCATTTCTTTTTTTTTTTTTTTATTAGGATTTGGGTGAAGATTTACAGAGTAAATTCACTTTTCATACAGCAGTTCACATATACTTTGTCTCATGT